TATAAGACACATGATTTTATTTTTAATTCTTTAATAACGTGAAAACATTAGAAAAAAGTCAAAATTTTCATTTTTTTTTAAAGCCGTTTTCATTGCTTTTTTTACTTTGTCTCCATGTTCCCCCCCGCCTTCTTCCCCTCCCCTCTCCCTAACTCTCTACCTCCCCCCTTAAATAACTCGATCGGTAATTAATCTTATTTAGAGCAATAATACAGACACATAATAAATTTTTTTCATCTGAACAAATTTTCACAAACACACACACACACACACGCGCACGCATTCAAAAAATTGTAAAAAAAAAAAAAGGAAACCGGAAATTGAATTTTTACATATAAATATTATTATTTAATTAAATTAAAATTTTATTTTTTTCTTCTGCTATTTTTTTAAAAAGAAATGACGTCAAAAAAACAAAAATAATAATATTAATTAATTTTAACGATTAAAAATTTTTTGATTTTGATCGCTAAAAATTTTTCCTTTTTTTTTTTAATATTTATTATTTTTTTATTCATTTAAATTTATTATCAAAATTCATTCAGTTGTTATCATAAAAAATAATAATAATAATAATGATGATGATAATTTTTAATTAATATTTTCTTTTCATTTATATATTATATATTTTTTTTTCATTAAATATTAAAAAAAAAGAAAATAAAAACTTTAGTTTCGGTTTAATGAAAGTTAAATATACGAATGAAAAGAATAAAAATTATTATTATTATTATTAATAAGGAAAAACATTTAAACATTTACATTATTATTATTATTATTATTATTATTATTATTATTATTATTATTATTATTATTATTATTATTATTATTATTATTATTATTATTATTATTATTATTTTACGAATGTAATTTAAACGTTTTTTTTTTTTAACTTTTATTTCTTTTCTTTAAAAAAAAAATTTTTTTATTATTTTTCTTTTTTTTCCATTTTTTGACTTTACGACCACCACCACCACCACGACCGCCGCCATTTTTTTTTTAACTCTACCCTAACTGTCAGTTTTTCTTTTTCTTTTTCCAAGTTAACTTTCGTTAAATTTTAGACGTTTGAACTCAGAAATCCACTGAGTCGCATTAAGCCAAAAAAAAAAAAAAAGAAAAAATAATAAGAAAGAAAGAGAGAAAGAGAGAAAAAAAGAAAGAACAAAAAAAAAAGAAAAAAGAAAAAAGATTTATTGTATTTTACATTAAACTTAAACTATTTGATATATTTTATTTTATTATTCTTTTTTTTTTTTTTTTAATACAAAACTCTAGTTAACCGCAAAAAAAAAAAAAAATTTATTATTTATTACCCCCTTTTTTTTTCTTTTTTAAATTTTACATTTCATTACTTTAACGACAGCAAAAACAAAAAAAAAATTATTTAAACTACAATTAGCAAAAAAAAAAAACAAGAAAAAAAAAATTTTCTACTCGATTACTTCAATCGATAAAAAAATTACCTTAATTTAAATTTTAAAAAAATTATTATTATTATTATTTTTAGAGTTTTTTTTTCAGTTATAACAAAACAAATTTAAATTTAAACGCGTCGTCACAACAACAACAACAAATCCCCTTCTCCCTTCCCCTCTTTCCCCCTTCCCTCCCTCGTCCTTTTTCTTCAACGAACTCGCGAAAAAAAAAGAAAATTTTTATTTATGAATAAAATATTAAAAAAATATTTATTAATATAAATTCCAATAAAAAAGGTGGTTTTAAATTTCTAGAAAAATTCCATCCGCATTCTAGTTCTAATTTAAATGCATCGTTAATGGGTTTCCTTCCAAGATTACTACAAACGGTCGAACGTAAATCATCGGATACCAAAAAACAATCTTCGATATTTTCTTCGCATAAATATTGTCGTTTTTTTCTTTCCCATTCTTCTATCCACCTAACAAACACAAACACGCACACGCACACGCGTGATAAGAATACAATCGATAACAACAACAATTAAAATTTTAAAAAAATTAAAATAATATAAATAATTCTCGTGTTAAAATGGCGTCTCTCGATTTCGTTAAAATTATACAACGTGGTATCGTAAAAATCTAATGCCACGACAAATCCCCTCCTCTTCTTTTATCCCCACCCAAATTAAAACTCACCCGATTGCGCATTCGCACATCCAATTATTATCATTTATTTTTAAATCCGTTAAAAAAATTTTTTTTGGAACGTTTGGTTCGTCTCCAGTATTCGGATTAAATAAAGTTTCCAGTTTATTCGACCTCACATCCAGTGATAAATTTCTTATTTGTTTACCGTTAAAAAAAACATTTTTAGATATTTCTTCGATCGACGTATTAAAAATTACTAAATTAAAAATTGGACTTCTTACTCCCTGGAAACAAAAAAAAAAAATGTCACCATTTTATCATTCTTTGCCTCCTCAAAAAAAAAAAATTATTTTTTTTTTGTATCACCTGTAATAAATTATGGGGGACCGTTTTAAGACCCCGACCTACGAGTGTTAAATTTCTTAATTTATATGGAAACCATTCGGTCGCGGAATCGTCATTTATGGAAAATTTAGAATTTTCCAATATTTCAACGTAAAGATTATTTAAACCGTGATTTTCTTTAATCATATTAAAAACGTTTAAATCATCTTGAGTTCCGTTAATTGTTAATTTTAAATTTTCCAAAAATGTTATTTTACCCAATGTTCCTTTCTGGAGAAAAGAATAATTATTATTATTATTATCATTCACGTTAAAAATTTTATTTATTATTGGGAAATATAAAGAAAACCTGAAAAGCATCGAGCGGAGCATTTCTCAAATCGATTTCTCTTATCGTTTGACTTTGTTGAAAATTAATCGATTCCAGTGGATTTCCAGAAATTCCCAAATATTCGAGTTGTGTGAATGCATTTATTGCTGGAGGTACGGTCATTATTTCGTTCGAACCTAATTCCAACCTTCTTAGATTTGTTAAATTATGTGGGAATTCGTATGGTATTGTAAAAATTTTATTTTCCGACAAATCTAAATTTTCTAAAGATGATAAATGAAGGGCTGGAACCTGGAGAGAGAGAAAAAAAATAAATAAATAAAAAGTTTTTTTTTTTTTTTTTCATCACCACCACCGCCTTCCATTAATGGGATTTTTTTTCTAAAGAAATTTATATATATATAAATTTTCTTTTTTTTTTTGTATGTAAGCTTTAAATCGCGAGGGGTTTTTTCTTTTTTTTTTTTCTACACGACTCGTCACTTTAATTTGAACCATTGTTCGAATGGAAAAAGGAAAAACGGAAACGGAAATGGACAGAAAGTAAAATTTATATATATTATTGAATTTTTAAAATCTCACCGTGTTTAAAGATAGATTTTTTAAAAAAAGACTTTCCAAAGTGTCATCTAATCCGTAAAAGGGTTGATCCTTTGAATCAAGAGTTATGTTGACATTATGACTCAGATCCAACACGCATAATCTTTTTAAAAATGAAAATTCTCCATTTTCAATTTTCGAAATGTGATTTTTACCCAAATTCAACAAATATAAATTCTAAAAACAAATCGTTAAAACGCAAACGTTTTTTTCTTTTTTTAATATTATCGCCACCGCCATCGCCATGACGTTTTTATTTTTTTTTTAATATAATTTTTACGATACCTTAAATTTCGCAAACGCTTCCGGTTTGGGCAGATTTTTTATTTTATTCGAATATAAATTTAATTCGGAAAGCGTTTTTCCAGAATTTTCGTTGAAACTATCCAACGGTATTATCGTTAAATTATTATTCGACAAATCTAATCTTTCCAACGGTCCGTCGTTGAATAAATTTTCAGGTACGACGTCGAGTTTATTATTCGATAAATCTACTATTCTCAAACGGTGAAAACCGTCGAACAATAACGCCGGTAATTCGTTTAATAAATTATTTGAAAAATAAAAAACCTGAAACGACAACAACCAATATGACGACAAAAATGACGTCACACACGTGGCATCCATTTGCAAATGCTTACCTGAATGCTTTTGGTATTAGCAAACGTATCCTGTTCGATGTATTTTAATCGATTGTGAGAAATGTCGATCCATTGCAAATACAACATGTCGCCAAAAGTATCTTTCGTTATGTTAATTAATTTATTATATGATAAATAAAGATGAGTTAAAGATTGTTCGACAGGTTTTAAATCTTTCGGTTTTAAATAAGATAGGTTATTGTGCGACAAATCCAACGCCTTGAAAATAAAAAGAGAAAATTTTTTTTTATTGTGTGAATTTCCGTCGACATTTATCTCGTTTTAATTGTTTTGATTTTTATAAAAAGGTCATCGACCCTTTGGAATTTACCTTTATATTAACGTGTTCCGGTGTAAAATTATGATTATCAAAAACAGACGCGTTTGCCGTTAATTGTTCTATATTGTTGAATGATACGTTTAATGTGAACGACGACAGGGTGCCAACTTGTTCTAAACAACCGTAATTAAATAATTTTATTTTATTATAAGCTAAATCTAATTTTTCCAATTCTGGTAAATCTTGAAAAATCTGTTTTGGAAAAAGAAAAATATAATAATAAATTTATTCCCATTATTATTATTATTATTATTATTGATTTTTTTCTATCCTAAAGGATTTTATATTTACCTCGTCGTCTAAAGATGATATTTGATTTCCACGTAGGTATAAATTTCTAAGTTTATATAAATTAACGAATGATTTTTTTTCAATTGTTTTTATACGATTATCGTTTAACCATAAATTTTCCAGATTTTTCAAACCGGAAAATGTTTTACTTTCGATTCGAGACAATTGATTGAACGATAATTGAATCGTGTTCAATTCTAAATGCATGTTTTCCTGTATGGAAATCAAAAAAAAATTTATTTTTATTCCTTTTTCAATTTAAATTTAAATTTAAATTTAATTTTAAAAAAAGAAAAATCCTTTAAATAATTTTTTTATAGGAAAAAAAGGAGGAAAAGAAAAAAAAAGGAAAATTTTTTTTTTTGACGTCGGAAAATACACAAAGGAAAATTTTTTTTTCTTTCTAGTTTTACTTGGTATTATCATTATTATTGTTTTAATTACTCGGTATTTCTATTTACGATGCTACTAAGTTTTTTTTTTTTTATAAAAAAAGGAATTTTATTTATTTCCTTTGAAATTTAAAAATATTAAAATCTTTTTACACGTTTTTCACAAAAAAAAAAAAGAAAAAAGATGGAGAAACACAAAAAAAAGGGATTTTTTTTTTATTCCATAATTTTTTCCTTTTCCTCTTTTTTTTTTTATTCATTCCTTTCCCCCCCCCCCTCTTCTCTCTTTTTTCTTTCATGTATAATTTATGATTGGTAAAAATATAATAAATTTATTATTAAAGACAAAAAAAAAAAAAAAAAAAAAGAAAAAAAGAAAAATTGGGAAATAGATAGATTGATAATAATAAAATGGCGGAGAAAATAATGAAAAAAAATTTTCACGGGTTTTTTTTTTAATCGATAATTCGATGATTTTTTTTTGGACACCTGTGGAGGAGGAGGAGGGGAGGGAATACGGGGACAGGATTCACGCCATTTGCAAATCGCACTGACGATAATAATAATAATAATAATAATAATAATAATGATTTTTTTTATACGCGTATTTCTTTTTTTTTCGCTAAAAATTTTAAAATGAAGACAGAAGGAGGGAAAGAGGGGGAAGGGGAGGGTAAAAAAAATCGTTATAAAAAATAATTTATCGTTTTATCTCACCTGGAAAGTTCTTGGAGAAATAAATTCGATAAAATTATCCTGGAGGAAAATGATTTTTAATCGTTTCAAATGAAAAAATAATTTTTGAGGTATATTTTTAAAACCGTTATTTGATAAATCTAAAAATTCCAAAGACGTCAATTGTTTGAATATATTTTCCGGAAGTTGCGTCACGGATGACGATAAACCGTTAGCCAATGATAAATATTCGAGACTGTGAAGAACCTGCGACAACAAAAAAAAAATCATATAATATTTATTTGTAAAAAAAAAAAAATGGCGGAATGAAGAGGAGAGGATGCCGCGTTAGATTTTTATTTATTTATTGGGAAAATTAAATTTTTGTATTTATTTTACGTTTTTTCGGGGATGTACGAAATAAAAAAAAAAAAAAAAAAGAAAAGTTTCCGTTTGGATTTTTTTTTTTTTTACCGGTTAAATCGAGTAAAGTAAATTTTTTTTTTTTTTGAGTTGAAAAACATGAAATTTGGGTAGCAGCTGTTAAAAAAAAAAAAAAAAAATTTTTCTACCTTCCTTTATTAAATTTATTTTATCTGACGAAATACAAAAAAAAATAAAATAAAATAAAATAAAATTACAATGGAAATGTTTTTAAAAGGAATAAAAACCGATCACGACTAAATATTTATTATAGTTTTAAATAAAAAACGCGTGGGGGGAAGAAGGAAGGAGGGAGGAAGGGAAAGACGAGGGGCGAGGGTGGGATCGGGGAAAAAAAGAAAAGCCTAAATAAAATCTTTCGGTTGATAAAAAAAAAAATTAAAATTTTCTTTCTTTCGTTTGTTCTTTTTATTTATTTTTCCACTAATGTTTTCCACACACACAAAAAAAATTTTTTTTTTTTACGCCATCGGCCATGTTTTTAATTGAAAAAAAAAAAATAAAATAAAAAAAGTTAAAATTTAAAAATGGTTTTAAGTTTTTTTAGAGAGTGAATAATTCTATTTTTTTTTTTTTGCGTGTGCTCGCGCGATGATTTTAAAAGGTTCAAAACGACAGAAATAAAAAAAAAAGGATTAAAAAAAAAAAAGTGTGTGGGGGGAGGATCAAGCTTTTGTTATGTGAGAAAAAACCGGGGGATTTTATTTTTTTTTCACCCCCACACTCAAATGAAACCGGAGAGAGGAAATGGGAGATGGGAGAAGGGGGGGGATGCGTGCGTGAGTGAGGAGAAAAAAAAGAAAATTATTTTTATTGTTTGTTTTTTAGGAATTTGACAAAGGAAAACTTTTTCTTACCTCGGAAAAAGCTTCGCTTTCTATTGTCGAAATTGAATTTTCAGATAAATCCAACCTTCTTAATCCTCTAACATATTTGAAAACGTGATTTTTTATATTTTTAACATTGCTGTAGGATATTTTAAGTTCTTCCAACTGATTAAAAAATCTTTTTTTCTTATCGTTTATTGGTAAATACGTATGAGGATATTTATAAATTGTCAACGATCGAATATTATTCAATCTTCTGTCAAAAAATAAATAAATAAAAATATTATTATCTCGGAGCAATATTTTTTTTTTTACTACTCCCTCCCTACCTCCCTCCCACACACACACACACATTCTCTCTCTCTCTCTTTCTTTTACATAAGCAAACAAACAAAAATAGAGAAAAAAAAAAAAAACGTGAACGAATTAACAGTTTACCTATCATCGTTTTCAAAATCGTCATCATCATCATCATCATCATCATCGGATTCTTGTATTTCTCCATTTATAATAAGATTTTCCAACGAATTTTTATACGAATCGAAAACATGATCAAATATAAATTGAAATAAAAAATTATTATTTTTTATATTAAAACTTTTTAATAATTTAAATTCCTTTAAAAAATTTTTCGGTATTTCCGTTATGTTGTTTCCTTCTATGTTTAATATTTCCAAATTTGATTCTAAACCGGAAAATGAATCCGATTTTATATCAGACAATTCGCAATCTTCTAAATAAAGTTCTCGTATTTTTGTTTGTTCGAAAGCACCTTTCTAAAAATATCAAAACAAACAAACAATTTTTTTTTTCAAAATGTTATTCTCCTTTTCCTTCCTCTCTCTCTCTCTCACACACACTCACCTCGATATAAACAATCGGATTCCCATTTAAATATGTACGATTTATAACGGGAAAATGTTTAAATGATTCCGTTGGTAAATATTGTATTTGATTGTAATCCAATCTTAAACAATCTAATAATAAATTAACGGATTTTCCTTTGTTTCTATCCTGCGTGAAATCTCTAACTTCCGTAATCCGATTGAAAGACACGTCAAAATGTCTTAAATCCCTGTAGGAAAAATAAAAAAAATTTTTTTTTAAATTAAATAATAATAAAAAAAAAAGGCTCCCTCTCTCCCTTCCTCATCTTACCCCAATTCGGATATTTGATTCAATGGTATTTCCGATAAGAGATTATCCGAAAGATTTAATTCGGATAAACGAAGGGTGGTGGTGGTGGTCCCTGTTGTTCCTCCTTTAAATGCAAACGTGTCCAATTCCATTAATATATTATTACTTAAATCTAAATATTCTAATTGTCTTAAATGTGTAAAAGTTTTCGGTCTTATATTTGTTATTTTATTTTTTTTCAATATTAAATTTCTTAGAGAATTTTCCAAACCGATCCAATCGTCTGAACTTAAACTCGTTATTTGATTATCTGATAACAGAAAAAAGAAAAAAATGTCCGTCATAAAACTAATACTCTACTAAACTAAATTTTTTTTTTTAAATCCTCACGTTTAAAAAACAATTAAATTTAAATTTAAATTAATAAATTATCATTTTTAACTTATCCGATTGTGTTAATTAAACGTGATAATAATAATTTTTTACGTTTTAATTTCGTTGATGTTAATTACGAGGGGGTAAAAATATTTAATTAACCTTAGACGAAAAAAAAAAAAAATTTAATTTAAAAAAAAATAATTTTTTGTATGTGTGTGCGTGCGTGTTATTATCATTACGTTTGTAGTGTTTTAAATAAGGGTGGGTGAAAAAAAACATTTGATATATGGTTAAAATTTATATAAAAAAAAAAAAGAGGGAAAGTTTTAAAACCTCTTCCTCACTTATGTTTTGTTTGTTTTTTCGAGTATACTAAACTTTTTTTATATCATTGAAAAGTTAGAATTTTTTTTTTTTTTTTTTAAATTTATAATTACCTGATAAATCCAAAACTTTTAATTTTTGAAGATGGCAAATTGAATGAATGGGTACTTTTTTCAATTCGTTACTTTGTAAATTCAATTCCCAAAGTGATCTTTCCAAACCAATGAAACTATCTTCGTCGATTTCTTTCAAAGAATTACGTATTATTTCAATTTTAAAAAGACCTAAATAATAATAACGATTTTTTTAATTTAATAAATCCCACGTAAATAGTAATAATAATAATAATAATATTACCGGTTCTACTTAGAAAATAAGGTTCGATAAAATGTAAACCGTTATTTTCTAAATGTAACATAAAAGCTTTCGACGTGTTTATACGTCTCGGAATGTTTAACAAAGGTATGTCTTTACACGTAACTCTTCCTAAATCCGGATATGCTTTAGAGCAATAACATAATGGATTAAAAAAACATGGCGGATCTTTTTTATGATCGCCGGATACGTAATAAAAATTATTAAAAAATGTTAAAATAATAATAAATGATAAATTAAAATACATTTTAAATTTTTTTATTTTTCCTCACCACACCTGTAATTAAAAAAAAAAATTGAACACGTGTATATTAATAACACTAATTATTATTATTATTAAATAAAAAAACTTACCTTAAATAAAAAATTTCATGAACAACCAAACTAAAAACTTTTAAACTACCAAACCAAACTGCTAAAGAATAATTTAAGGTCAACAATGAACAAAAAAAAAAGAAATGACCTTTTGTACGGTTTCCTTTAACTAGATTATTATTATTAGTTTTAGTTAATAAAAAAAAAAAAAAAAAAAAAAAAAAACTTTTTTAAACTCTTTTTAAATACAAAAAAAAAAAATTATTCGACAACACTAAAAGGTTTTCGTTATTCTCTCTCTCTCTCTCTCTCTCACACACACACACAATTGTTATATACATTTACAACAACGTCCCGGTATTAACTAATCCAAATTTTATAAAAAAAAATACTTTTAAGGTTTTAACTTATGGTGTGTATATGTGTGAACTTGATAATTCATAGAGTAATATTATTTCACCCACGCACACGCACACACACACACACACACATTCAACATGCAAGTTTAATATAATAAAAGTTCACTAAAGAAAAAAATTAACTTTTTAACATTAATTAATACAATTTTTTTTTTAAAAAGAGCGTGTGTTGATTTTTTTTTTTTTTAATGTCTGTCTGTTTGTCTGTTTGTTTGTCCGTAACTACAAACTACACCTTGAACAATTTTTGTTGGGTTTCTTCTACTTAAATTTTATCGATAAAAAACAAAATTAAACAAAATATTTAATTGAATTAATAATAATGCGTACGATCGGAGAGAGAGAGAGAGAGAGAGAGACTTTGTTAAAAATATGAAATTTCATAATTAATTAAAAATTTCATTTCCGGTTTTTTTTTTTTTTTTTTGTAATGTATCGATCGATAAATTATTAAATATAATAATAATAATTGACGTTATTAATTTTAAATTTTTAAAGTTTTGAAGATTTGTAATTTACAAATAATTTTTTTTTAATGAATGGGAAGGGGAAAGGTGGAAGAGGAAAGGGGGGGGGGTAAAAGGTCAAAGACGAAAATATATATTTCCTTCCAGTAAAAAAATGGGTGTACGTGTGCGTGTTAATCACATTTACAAAATGTAATGTGAGAATCACGAATAAATAGTTGTTAAATGTTATTTAAAATACGTTTACAAAAAAAAAAAAAAAATAATTCGATAACTTTTTAAAAAAAAAAATTCACACCTAAAATAAATCCACCATTTTCATTATTATTATTATTATTATTAAGTAACGTTTTTTTTTTTTTTTTAAATAAAATAAAATAAAATAAATAAGCGAGCCAATTTTTTTTTGTTGCTCTTTGCTCTTGTTATTATTCACGATGATGACTTAAATTTTTATTTTTAGACGGTTGAACCAAAATTAGAAAATACTAGAAAAAAAAAAAAATTTTTTTGTAGTTCCCCCCAGTTAAATTTTTTAGTTTTTTACTGTGTTGAAACCGTTTTGGGTAAGGAATAAAATAAAAAAATTGTACGTAACTTAAAAGGTAATCAATCAATCAATCAATCAATCAATCAAATAATTTAGTTTTTATTTTATTTTTTCGTGATCGAAATTAAAAAAAAAATTTATTATTATTATTTCAGACAAAAAAAATTTTTTTTTAGCTTCTCACACACTCACTCAAGTGTTGCCACACGTTATTATCATTATCATTAATAATAATTATATATTTAAAAAATAATAATAATAATAAAAAAAAAAAAAAGGAAAAAAATCATCGTTTCTGCTTTTGTGTGTGTCTGTGTGTTTGTGTGTGGTGAGTGCCACGACACCTTGTTATTATTATTATTATTATTATTATTTTTTGAACACATTTTACCCGTATACAATTATGTCAACAAATGAACAAAACAAAACAAAAAGAATTCGTTATCAAAATGGCAATAAAAAATTTCAAAAAGAAAATTTAATTAAAAATCATACGTCAAATTTTTCCGAATGTGATAAAAATTTATGGGAAGAAAAGAAAAAAATTTGTGACGATTCAAACAAAAATGAAGATACGGTTAAAAATATAAATAATAATAATAATAATAATAGTAATACGGAAAAGGGAATCGTTGATAATAATAATATTATTGTAACGAATAATAACGTTGGTAAAAATATCAAAAACGATATCGATTCTTCTTCGCCTTCTTTTTTTACGATAAATAACGTGGGATTAAATAAAGAATCATCATCATCATCATCAGATGTTAAAAAAATGTCTCGGCCAAGTAAGTTTTTTGTAAAATGAAAATTTTTTCTTTTATATATATATATTTATTTATTGATTTATTAAAATCGATCGATCGATACGAAAATTGAAGGTGATGATTATTTAATTTAATTAATTTTTATTTGTATTGTTTATATACATAATAATTAAGAGCGTATAAAACGTCAAAAAAATTTACTAACAACAGATCAGAAAACTCGTTTACCAAATAAATCGATAACTCGTCCAAGCGTTTCCGGTAACATAACAAAAGCTTCCGGAGAATTAACAAATCAACAATCAGTTAAATGTACAAAAGATGATATTAAATATTGGAAAAATAGAGAACAAGAATTATTGGCTAAAATATCAGATTTAGAAAATTTAGTTGCTAATAATAAAGAAACGATTATGGGAAAAGAAAAACCGGAAATGGATTCATCGACGACTACAACGACGACGACGACGGTAAATTTTATTTTTACTTAAAAAAAAGTGAAAGTTGAGGTGGGTGTGTGAGGGATTATTTTTAAAAAAAATTATTATTATTAATAATTACAGGGTGTCGGTGGAAAGGGTAAGGAAAACGATGAAAAGGATAAGGGTAAAGAAAAAGAAAATTACAAGAATAAAATTCAAACGATTGAAAAAGAAATATTAAATAAGCAAAAAGAATTAACGACGGAAACAAATTATAAAAATTTTAAAAGTTCCGAAGAAGTTGCTAATTATTTAAAAATACAAAATGAAGATTTGAGAAATGCTTTGGCTAAAATGACGACCATACTAAGAGATAAAACTACCATGTGCATAAGTCAAGAGAAAAAAATTGCCGCTTTGGTTAATCAAGTTGAATCGTTGAAAGAAGTTGTCGCCATAACAAAAGATCTACTAAATATAAGAAACATGGAAGTTCAACATTTATCAAACGACATAACAGCCATGGAAACTAAAATCGATTGCGAAAGGCAAAGACACAATCAGGTACGTATCGATTTATTCCCCCTCCTCCTCCCCACATCGATCGATTTATGATAATAATACTAATTTTTAGATGCTCGTCAAAATGGACGAAGCCGTGAAATTAAATAGCGATTTAAAAAAAGAATATGAAAATCAATTGAAATTATTTCAACATTTACGTGAAAGCTATGAGAAAAAAATGGTTTTCTTATCACGTGATCAATTAAACGGTAAAAATGATAATAATACCCAAATTGAAAAAGGTATTGTCAATTCTAATTCTGATTCACAAGTACAAAGTTTGACGCTTTAGGTAATAATAATAATAATAATTAAATTTTTCTTTTTTTTTTTAAATCTATGTAACAAAAAAATTATTAATTAATTTAAATGTTTAATAACTTTTTATAAATTAAAATATTATTATCATTATTATTTTAGATAAATTACACAGCGTGAGTGCCACAGACAACAACAACCAAAAAATTAACTCAAAGTTAACGTAGATTATTATTATTTTTTTACTTATTTATTTATTTAATTTTTGTTATTTATTTATTTTATATATATATATACATATATACTAATTATTTATTATCGATTTTTTTTGTTTCTCCCCTCCCCCTCCCCCCGCCGATCAATAATCGAATCGATTTGGTGGTTTAAAAAAAAAAAAATGGTTTTTAAAGATTTAATTTTAATTCTATATATATTTTAATTTATATATTTTAATATTTTACATTCAGCTTTGTTATTGGCACTATAATTTATTATTATTATTATTATTATTTTATTTCAATTTGACAAATAAAAATATGAAACAACGATTTAATTTTTTTTTGGGGGGGTTCACACAATGACTTCCATACGATTACCCTTTCTTAAAAATCTAATTTGTCCCTGTTGAAAATCCGTAAATTTTTGGCACTTGAAAGTAAATAAAACCGTTTGTTGTCCGAAATTCGCTTCGAATCTAAATTAAAAATAATAATAATAATAATAATAATAATTATCGAAAAGTTTATAAAAAAAAAAAATTTAAATTTAAGTGTTTCGTGATACTCACTCCGTGCTTATGTTAACTTCCGGAGGTTTCCCAACGGCGTTTTGAATGACCAAAAACATTTTCGTAACCATTTCTATTACGTGACCCGTTTGAAAAATAAAATCTCCCTTGTTTTTAACCAAATCGCTATTGAACAAACATCCGGATGATTGTAATTGATCGGACGAACACGTCACGGAAGGTAACTTGTGGTGAAAAAATTTTAAATTTTTTTTTTTTTTTTTTAATCCCAATCGAATTGAGAAAAACGTTTTCCGGAACATAATACAAAACAAACTTACGGTTTTGACGTGGAAGACGGCCACGTTATCCGTGTAAGGAGACAACGACAAACGATAAATTTCCGAAGCGGGAATTCGGTATTTGATTTGTAAAGTTCTTTGATCTAATATGAGCATGCTGTTGGTGCTTAATACGAACAATACCGGTACGAATTTCCCACTCGATCTCGTTATTTTATTTATTATGTCGGCAAAAACGACGTATTGATCGTTTGTTTCCAACGACATTTTTTTCCACTGTAAATTATTTCTCAATCTAACGTAATCTCCTATGAACGGATGTGACACGGATCTCGCGTACGACGCTTTCCTATCTTTGAATATTATACTCGCCGTTACTTTTTCACGCATTCGATTTTTTGCCGTTTGATCGAATTTCATTCGGTATTTGGAACACTAGGATAGGAAAACATAAATTTGATATACTTGAAAAACCATTTCGGTCGATAAAAAAAAATTAATATTAAAAAAAAAAACTTACTCGCCATTTGTGATGTATGGATTTAAGCAAATGACTTGTTTCCATTAATCTAGGAGAACAATCGGGCCAATCTTCACCGATGGGACTTTCATCCGGTAAATATTTTATTAAATGCCATATAAACATTTTCCTCTGCAATCATATTGTAAATTTATCATACATTTATCAATGTTTTCATTTTTAAAAATTCCAAAAAAAAAAAATTAATTGAATTACCTTCCAGTTCAAATAATATTTATGTATGATTTTAACAGCCCACAAAACTTTTTTTTCGAATCGTAATCTTTTTAATTCTTTTCTTGCCTGAAAAAAAAAAAAAAAAAACATTCTTAATTAGGTTCGTTTCAGTTAAATTCATTTTTTTTTTTTTTTTTTTTTTTTTTAAATTTAATTTTTATTACTTTCCAACATTTCCAAGCCGAAAGTATGACAAAACTACTGAGCTTAATTGTGCGATACAGTTGTCGTTTTCTGTAACCCTTCCATGTTTTTTGTATAATAACGGCCAAATCGTGAAGCCTTTCTCGTCTGAACTCTTCTAATTCGTATACCTGTATAAATAATTAACGTTTTTAATTTTTTTTTTTTGAAAATTTACCGACATTAAAACTTTGATTTTACCGTTCTTGGACTCCGAACAAAAACTTTTGTTCTTCCGAATGCGAATTCGCCATTTGGAATGGGAAGATCTTTTAAAAGTCGTGACACTCCTTCGGGAAATGAATTTTTTTTCCAATTTGGCCACGTGTAAAGGGAAAGCATTTTATAACGATTTAAAAACGATTCGTATTCCAATTTGAAACAAAAACCTTGTCTTCGAACTCTAACCGTTTCTATTAGGCTAAAATTTTTTAATTAATAATTTTTTTTTGAAATCACGACATTAAGAAGAAAAATTTTTATGTTTTTTACCATAAATAACGTATTTGATGTTGAACAAGCGCCGTTTCGAATATTCTCGGTTGTTTTAATTCGTTTGGTTTTATACAACGTACGTAATGAGGTTGTTTAGAAGACAAATTTTGAAGAAGTGCACTTAATGATATTTTAAATTGAGTACCAACGGTCGCCGGGAATTTGCCAGCAACCCGTTTGGGATTTCCTTCCGGAAAAAGAATTTTGAGCAAGGGATGATTACATTTGTACATTATTTGTGATAAATTACGACTAAGAACATCTCTATTTTTTTCAACGAAACCTTCTACAACATACGTGACCGAACCGGCAAAGTGTCGCAATCTAATCATAAAATAAAATTTTAAAAAGTGTAAACAAAATTAACTCAAAAAAAAAAATAAAAACTTGTAATTTTTAAAACCTGAAGCAATTTGTAGCTAAACCCGTATCGGATATCATTAAACTTCTGCTAGTTTTTGTTTTGACTTCGAAATGAGAGTGACCAGAATATAGTGAAATATTATTTAAAAATAATTCATCGGATTTTGCTCCGCATTTAACGCATTCTTCATCGAGCATTGCCAATATTCCACAATTATTCTGAAATTAAACAAAAATAATTATTTTAATAGATTGACAGGTTTTAAATCAAAATTATTGATAACGAACTTTTTCTATTAAATCACAGATAACATCATTGTGAACATAATCGATAGGAATCCATTCAATTCCCTCCATAATATATTCTTCCTGTTCTTTTTTCAACGTTACACCTGTTATAATTTGTTGTAATTTTTCATCGCTATAATTAATTAAAAATTGTTCAAATCTATTCTTTTCGAATATTTCAAATCCATACATATCTAATATTCCTAAAAATTTATTTTTCCTATATTTTTTTACCTGAAAAATACAGAGTTGACTAAAGTTATTACTTATAAAATAATTATTAGTCAAGTTAAATTAATAATTAAATTCAACATTATTTCATATTCACCATAATTAATTCATTTATTTTATTGACTAAATACGTAAATAATCTACTGTATAAGGCTTTACATAGAGAATTTCTCGCATAAGATGCTTCAGGACCGTTTAATTCAGTTATTAAGATATCTGACTTATTATCCAGTATTTTGTTGGTTAAAGCACTTTGTAAAAATTCAGGCTCTACTTCTAACATCTGACAAACTTCATATAGTTCTGAAAAAAAAACATGAAAAAAAAATTAAGATGAAAAGGTATTAATGAAAAAAATAATAAAAATTTAATTCGAATGATAACTACCATAATCATTACTGATAACACAACTTTCTGTACCATCAATATTATTTGTAGAAATAAAATTTATATTCCCTAATTTTAATATGCATGATATAATTTTAAGTACATCTAGTACTTCAACAGAAGTAAATCCTAAAATTTCCATAGCATTCTGAAATGATTGAAGTACAAATGAAAATAAATAAATTTTCAAATATTATTTATTTGGAAATAGCTGTTAATTACTCGGTTTCAAAAAAAAAAAAAAATAATTAATACAAACTTTTGTCGTAATAAAATCTTCTTTATAATTAACATCTGGATAAAAATTTTTAAATGCACTTGATAAAATTGTATAATTTTCTATGTTTCTTTGAAGTTTTAAGGCTTTTAACAAATAAACATCAGATCCCATTAAAAGTTGATAAAATATATGAAAATTTCTATCTCCTTGCGAATGATGAGTAACACGAGACTGAAAAGTCGAAAAAAATTTATTTTAATGATTAAGACTATAAAACAAAAAATTTACCTATTTTAAACATAACACAAACATATATTTTTGAAAGTGATAAAATATGAAGGGCATACCTTCTCTAAAAAATCTGTTAGCATAAAAAAAATATTTTATTTTAATAATATTATAAATAAATAACATTTATGATAAAAAAAAAAAAATAAGCATTTAAACTTACAAATCGTAATTGTTCCACCGACGGCATCTCCTTTAAAATTGTATTCTACATCCAAATATTTCCCCTGTGAAAAATATTTTTAATTTAAATGGTGAATTAAATTTTTTGATTTTTTGACAATAAAATAAAATAAAACTATTTACAAATCTGGAAGAATTATCATTTCTACATGTTTTAGCATTTCCAAAAGCTTCTAAAACAATGTTGGCCTGAACAAAATGTTTTGTAGTAATTTGTGACTCCTGTGATTTTGAATCTAAACTTATCGCACAGAAAAATTGTAAAATTATTTTCATGGCTTCAGTTTTCCCTGATCCACTTTCACCTGATAATATTATACACTGATTTTCATTGCGATCTAATAAAAACCTGTATGCTGTACCAGCGATTGCATACCTAAAAAAATTTAACCATTTAATTATAAATTATCATACAATAGAATTAACACAAAACATAGGTTTTTACATATAATTGTAACTTACATGTGTGGAGGAAGTTGATAAGGACCCTTAGACCAATATCCTTTTACTAATTCTTCAGAATATAAGGCTAATTTCTTATAAGGATTAATAGCAACCAATAAATTTCCTATGTATGTCTAAACATAAAAATTTTTTTTGAGGATTGACCTCACTTAAATTTAACAAATTAGTGATTATTAATTTTTTCAAACTTACATAAATATGATCTCGCTTAAAACGTTGATGTAAATTATAAATAAAGGTTTCAGAATTAAGGGGATCAAGAAGTACTGAATCCCAAGCTCCTACCTCTTGATCTAGACTTAAAATATCCATCACAGATAATTAAAAAATTTACGCAAATGTATAATAACAATTGTAATTTTAAAAACATATAAACGAATTTTTAATAAATACTTTTAACGGTAATATATAAATGTTTACACTAAATAAGGCCCATGATTTAATGGTTATCAATCCAAAAATTGGCGGACATGGTATCACTTTAAAATTGTTTCTCTTAAAACAGAGAAGATCATTTTTAATTTTTAAACCATAAATAAAACTTTTGATATTTTTATTTAAATAAAATCCTTTTGACAATCAACAGAAAAAAAATTTATTATTCTTATAAATACTAAATGAATGAAAAACATACTATAACTCTTAATACAAACTCCATGTTTAATTTTTTTTGTGACGTCACAACGAATTCTTATGACAAGTATTTAAACTTGAAATAAAAAAAATACTTTATGAGAAATTTCAATTTTTTTTTGTAAAGATTGAAAAAAAAAAGAAAAACTATTTGATTTTTTTAAACACTTTATTTTTATTGTAAATAATTATTTTAATAAAACTTTTCCTTTTATAAAATATAAATTCTTTTGAATAAAATAACAATAAAATAAAACTTCAGTTCTTTTTTCACCTTTTTTTTTCTTTCCCAGTATTACAAAAAACTACAAATTTAAGCATAAGTAAAATATATTGTGTAGCGCTTTTTTTTTATTTTTTAAAAATACTATTACACACGTTTTACACACTGCACTATCTTAAACCTAATAAGCAACATAACTAATTGAAAATTTAATTGATATTTTAAATGGGAAAATATAGATAACATCAATTATTATTTTGTTTATCTTTACTTTAACTGTTAACTAATATTTTATGTAATATTTTAATTTTTTTTTTTTCAAAGCCATTACTACAAGTCATTTTTATAATTCTCTAAAATTATTTTAAAATCTGTACTAGAACTTATTTTCATAAATAGTAATTATTTATATGCATTTAAAAACGTAATTCAATTCATCCCTTAAATTTATTTAAATAGTATTTAAAAGGCACTATTGAGCTTAATAAGTAGGCACAACTATTTTCAGTCTTTTTAAATTTTTTTTCGAATTTAGGTAAATAAATAGGAAATAAATTTCGTTGCTGCTTTTACATTGTAATAGTGCAATAAAATTTAAAATAACTTTACATAAAGCTAATTATGTTAAAGAAAAACAAAAAAAAAAAAATCATGATTTGTTCCATGCATTTTGTAAATTCTGATATAGACTCCCAGGAAGAAAAACACCTTTCTCAGTAACTATACCAGTTATAAGACTGGCTGGAGTGACATCAAAAGCTGGATTCCAACATCCTATTCCTAAAATTTTATTTACATAATAATTAACTTTCGAATTAAAAAAATATTTTAAAAAAAAAATTATTACCCCTTGCTGCAATTCTCATATCTCCGATGTGAGTCATTTCCCTATCAGGCCTTTCTTCTATTATAATATGTTCACCACTAGGAATTGACAAATCTATACTATTTGCAGGTGCAGCTACATAAAAAGGAATACCATGAAATTTTGCTAAAACAGCTATTTGATATGTTCCTATTTTATTAGCTGTGTCACCATTAGCAGCAACCCTATCTGCACCAACCACAACTAATAAAAGAAAACGAAAAAAAACCTCATTAATTTATTACCTAAAACAATATAAAATATATATAGGCATTCAATAAACCTGCAGAAATATTTCTGGTTTTCATTAATGCGGCAACCATACTATCACAAATCAAAGTTGACGGAATTTTTTCATGAACAAGTTCATAAGCTGTCAACCTGGCTCCCTGATTATAAGGTCTAGTTTCCGTACAATACACAAGGTCTGAAAAATTAAATTGAAATTTTTTAATGTCCTTTAAAAAGTAGTATTTTAAAAATTATCATATTAACAATTAATTATATATTTTTAATTATTGTCACCTAATTTTTTGCTTGAGTGCAAAGTTCTTATAATCCCGAGAGCAGTACCAAAACCAGCAGTAGCTAAACTTCCTGTATTGCAATGAGTTAATATTCTTACAGGTCCATCACCTTGTATATTAGCTAAAATTGCAGCAGCTCCAAGTGCACCAATTGTTTCATTATCTGTTAAATCCTTTTTTAGCATAGCCTCTATAGCAGTAATAAATCTAAAAATTTTTTAAATTTTTCTACTTTATTACAAAAATCATAATTTCATTTTTTTTTTTTTTTTGTAAATTAAAACTGTTTCCCATACTTTTGTTTCATTTCAGCATGTGAAACTAAATCATTTTTTTCTAAATCATTAGCCAAAGCGATGAGCTCATCTGCTGCTATTTTCATATTGACTGCTGTTGGTCTAGCGGAAACAAGATAATTTAATTTTCCTTCAACATCTTGTCTCAAAGTTTTCTTCGAATCATGTTCTTCTTTTTGCAATTCAACGCAAAGGCTCAAACAACCAACGATAGCAATAGCTGGTGCACCTCTAACCTTTAAATAAAAATAAAATTAATTAAATATTATAAAATGAAAAATAAAAATAATCTGTAGATAATTTATAATTAAGTAACATTATTTAGAGTTCACTATTTTATTATTAAAGAATTTTCAATATGTTATATTAGAAAATTGTTATCAATAAGTTGAAAATTCTTATCTATGCCCACTCATATAAAGTTCAAAAAATAAAGTACTTACTTTACTTGCTCAAATGTTAGACAATTTTTTTTATAATTACCTGCATTGTATTAATAACTTTCCATCCATCTTCAACTCCATTTACAGAAATATACTTTGATTGTCCAGGTAACAATAATTGATCCAAGATTTCCAAAGATCCATTTTTATATTTAATTGCTTGCAAACTCATAGTTTCATGCAAGATAAATACAGCTCTTAATAAAAAACACTCATGTATCAAGGTTGTTGGTGTACGGTGTTGTGAAACTTGCAAACAGCTGTTTTCTGGGCTCTAATATGTAAACAAATTAATTAAAACAAATTAAGTTTTTTTTTTTTTAAATTTATTTCAATTACTTTTTTTTCCTTTTTTTTTTTTTTTTTACTCTTATAAGTTAAAGCTCATTTATTTAATTTTATTATTTTTTAATTGAGCTTTCAGAGTTCATTATGTACTATAATAAAAACACATAAAATTTAAAACAAATAAATAAAACAAAATAAATATTTTTTAATTACTCAGTTTGTAATTTAAATTTTTTTATTTTTTTCTGATTTTTGAAGGTAATGCTATTTTTACTCTTTAAAAAAAAAATTTTTCAAATTCTTTGAATTTTATTTCTTTTAAATTTAAAATAAAATGTTCAGAGACATGCAACTAAGAACAATTTTTATAAAAATTTTTTGTGGATTAGCACCAGGATTTTTACCTGTCATCCACATTTTAATTTTATATTTATTTTGGGGCAAGTATTCAAGAAGAGTTGATAAAAGATATTGTTCTTGTTCTTGCTGGGATACAGTTTTTAAAGGCACTTATGAGACTGGAATCGGATCATACAAACACATGTATTTCAACGCCACATCAAATTCTATAAAAATTTGGCTTACAACTGTTACTTGTATCTTACTATTGTATGAAACTCTCAAATATCAATGTAATTTATTATTTAATTTTCAATTAAGAATTTTAATGGGAATTTTATTTATATCATCATTATTTTCACATTATTATACATGGTGGGTTTATGTTAATTACTGGAATGATGATTTTTATCGTCAGTGGAATCATCAATTATTTTTTACCATTACCGAAATTATATCAACTTCTTTAGTTTTACACATGTCAAACAAAAACAATAGAATTATACCAAAAAAAATAATTATAGTAATGTCAATTGCTTTAATCCACATATTGGCTGGTGGAGTGGATCAATTTATAGTTAACATTTTTTATGGTGAAGGAGACACTCATCAAATATTAAGAGATTTAGCTTTTATCGTTCCTGATATACTTCATTTAATTCTACCTATTGTTCAGTATTATAATTATCACAAAGGACAAATTCACTTGCACAATTTTAAAAATGACATTATTTTAATGTTTTTTTTAACTTTTTTCGGTTTTTTTCTATGCTACATACTTTAAGCAATCAATTAACATTGACCAAAATCACAAATCGCACCAAAGAAAATTATTTAATTTAAAATTATTATTATTATTATTAATTATTAAAAAGTCTGATGCTCTTTAAAATTTTAAATACTAAATTAAATTATTTATTTTAAAAAAAAAAAAAAAAATTTTGATAGAATATTACTATTCAATTTACATTAAAATAATGACTCTAAGACTATAATAATCATAATAGTAATAATTAGTATTATTATTAAATCTTTTTATATTTTAACTTTAACGATTCAAATTTTTATTTTTTTAATAATTATTCGACTTTTAACCAAAAAAGAAATTTACCAAAAATTATTTAAATAAATCATAGACATAAAAAAAAAAATTTTGTGTTGTTACCTTTGCTTTTTAAGTATTTATAAAAAATTTTTATCGAATTATGTAATGTAATATTATTTTTTTTATTTATTTATATTATTTTTTTATTTTACAAAGTAACTATTAGGCTTTAATTAAATATAAAAATGAATTCTTAATCAAATGATTAAATTTTATATTTAAAAAAAAATACAATTTATATTGGGACACTAATTACAGCAGAATCACATGCAAAAAAAAATTTTGCCTCGAGTTATGTAATTGAAATTTTTTTTCTTTTTTTTTTTTTTGATATTTTAATATATATATTGTAAAACATAAATCTATAATTAGTTTTATCTATCTATATATATATATACAAACTGTGTAGTAAATATTCAATTGAAAAAATAATTGTTGAATACAACATGAAATTTTTTTTAAAAATTCTACTATTTTAAATTATGTGATGATAAATTTAACTTTTTTAAGCACAAATAAATTTTATATTTATATAATGGCAATTAAAATATTGAATAAAAATAAAATGAATTTTAATGATGACAACTCTACAAAGCAAAGTCAATTTTAGACTAAAAATAATATAAATTCAATTATAAACAAAAAAAATTTACATTAAATATCAAATAGACGCACAAATTTAAAAAATTTTACCAAAACAAAAATTTCTAATCATTACATATGTAATTTTTTTAAATTAACGCACACACACACAAATATATATATAACAAATTGTTAATTTAAAAAAAATTTATTTTTAAATGATAATAATAAAAAATTTATATTTTTATAAAAATAAAAAAAAAATAAGGGAAATAAATATATTTTTAAATAAAATAATAAATTTGTTTAAGCTTAAAATAAAACGATTTAAAAATAAAAATAAATAAAAAAAAATTGTTTTTAATTAATAAAAGAAAAAAAATTATTTGCATGCAACATGTATTAACATTTATGATTTTAACTTTTGAAATAAATTTAAATTGAAAAAAAAAATGTGTTGAAACAAAATAAAATATTTAAACATTGTTATAAATAATTTAAAATTATTTATTGAAAAAAAAAAAAAAAAAAAATGTATTTTGCTATTTTATTTATGATATTTACGAAATGAAAAATATTAAGCACCTTAATTTTTAATCATTCGATAAAAATATTCTACTAATCTTCATTAATTTAAAATTTTTACAGTTAATGTATAGCTTTTTTTTATAACTTTTATTAATTTATGAATAAATTTATTTAATTGAAGTAAAAAAAAATTTAAGTAAGTTTAATTAACTCACATGTAAAGTTGTTCGATATTAATTTTTTAAAATTTTTAAATCAAAATATCAACCAACTATTGAAAAATATATTTGAGATTACAAATTTAAATAAAAGCAAATTTTAATGTTACATAAAATGTATTTATTTATTTGTAACTATTCACATAACATTTATTTATTTATTTATTTTTTTTTTCTGACTATTATTTGATCGATAAAAATATTTACACTAAACTTTCATTGAATAAGCTTATCTAAAACTATTGGTCATGGAAGTTATGGCAAATAAAATGCTTTTAAACAACTAATAATAAGTTATTATTAAATTTGTAAAAAAACTTTTTGATTAAAAAAAAAAAAAAAAAAAAAAGTTTTATGGTTTATTTTTTTCAATTCTAAGAAAAACATGTCAAATAACTTTTTTTTCCTTTCAAAAATCAGAAATATTGTTATTTTTTTAAGTATATAAACATGTACAACACTTACTTAATTATATATATCCCTTATTTATATATAAGACTAGTTTTACAAATATCACATAGCTCGATATGAGCAAAAAATGAAGTCACAGTATATTACATTTTAATGTCAATGCAAAGCAGTCTCTAATGTGTAATTTTAATATAAATAATTTCTCGGAATTATAGCAGCAGGCCGTTTTTCTAATGGATCATGAAGATTTCTATATTGATAAGTTATTACAACAGCCAAAACCTAAAAAATTTAAATTACATAATTTGTAATATCTAATTAAAATAACAAATAAACTACTTGATAAACAATTTAAAATGTTTATTTACACACAAGCTACGAAATGATTGAATAGAAATAACATGCTTTTTTTTTAATGAAGAAATTTTAGTGATCATTAATATTATTATTGAATGAATTATACAAAAACATGCAATTTTTCTCAACATACCCATCACCAAGATAATATTTCAATTTATCAACATGTATAAAATTAATATCGCTGGGTTAGTTATAAAAAAGCACTAGGGTTAGCTCTTGGGTCTTTCTGGTTTCTGTAACGAACAGTCAACCATACACCGACAAACTGCAATTTAAAGTAAATCATAAATTTAAATTTTTGTTTTAGCAACATTACAAATTTTTTATTATCCTTCACAAAAGCTTAATAAAATATTGCATTAAAATCATTATTAATATTTCATTTTAATTTTGTTAAAAAATTTAATTTAAATTAGTTTTTTTTAGTTTAAAATTAGTTCGACTAATGAATATTAATTAAAAATAGATAAATTGTTTTGTTATTTTTTGCACTGTATAAAATTATTGTTTTAGGAGACAAAAAACCTAAAAAATGTTTCTCTTTATAAAGGAAATTCAAAAGAAATGTAATTAGAGAATTTAATATAATAAACTGACCTCTGTAAAGCTGAAAAATAATCCTATTCCTCCTGCCAATTTAAATGAATAACTAATGGTTGATTTTAATTTATCAATACAATATGGATAAGAGCAGTTACTACTAGCTAATGAGCTGTCATTATTTGGTTTACAGCAACAAAACTAAAAAAAAAAAAAAAACATGTAAAAATTAAAAAATTATTTCAAATACAAATAGTATTAATATTTGATTGAATATCTTTTTACTTCTGATTTGCACAAAGAGCTTAATGAATTTGCAGATTTCGAATTTGTTCTATTATCAAAACCGCAACACTGAAATGTCTCCTGAATTTGTTCTTTAAATTCAATTGATGAACTTTCCCATCCTTGCCTAGCCAATTTTTCTTGTTGATCACTATTAACTGTCAAACAAGCACAAGCTATGCTAAATTGTACCAAAAACAAGAAAAACAATATGATCATGTACTAAAAATTTCTTATAGGAATATATTTTTAATATTTTTCTATTTAATTTTCTTACATAAAATACACTTTAAAATAAAATGTTGTGAGTAATTGCATAATTTTTTAATTAGTTTTTCTAAAAGGATACAAAAAATAAAATAACTTGATGATGTTTAGCAGCTCCGATTAATCCGAGTATTGAAATTAAAATTAGAAAAACTCCACAAGCTAAAATTCCACTGATAACAGGAATATTTGTTCCTAAGGCTGATGCTTTTCCATAAACAGCTACTCCAATCAATATAAAAGCAACAACCTAATGTGACATATGTTTTCAATAATGAATTGATTGAATATTTAACAAAAGCTGTAAATCTTTTAATTGAAAAATTGAACTTTCAAATTGGAATTGGAAAAAATTTTATAAGTTATAAGTAATACGTAAAGTATAATATTTTATTAAATGCTCTTGGTAATAAATATGTTGTATTCATAAATTTACGATAAAAAATATTCAAAAAAAAAACCAAGATTCATTTAAACAAATTTCAAAAAAATTAAAAATGACTCATAACTCAAGTGCTTCATTTAAGAATAAGACATTTTTTTTGATACTTACAACATATAAAATATTTAGAGTTGTTAAGGCATTTTTAGAACACGTAAATCCACCACACATTTTAATAAAAAGAATAAAAATAATTTTTCTGTGAGGAAAATAACGATAAGAAGTAGAAAAAGATACGAACTTCGACCTTCTTTTCACAAACAATACTTTCGCAACTTATGAAACTTAAAAACAGTTGGCGGCCATTCATGACATCTAAATCCGTTTTAAGAAAACTTGGAAACTTCTATATATGGGGGAAAAAATTTTTAATTATATTGTTATTATATAAATTTAATAATTATTATTATTTATAAATTTTTATTTTTTAAATTAAATTTTAATTTTGAAATAAGTATTTCAATTTCATATCTGACTTTGAATAAATTTTTTGAATTAAAATATTAAAATTATAGATTTTTATCAGTAAATATTGATTTTAATTGAAAATAATTATTTTTTTAATTTATTAATTTATATATATATATTTAATTAATGTCCTTGATTAGAATATTAAATCATGCGTTTACAGTACTTAACTCGATAGTTTATTATTTGTAAGCCGGATTTTAGCGCCGTGTAAATATCTGGGTGTTTCAATCATGGACGAAATCTGTTGGTGGTTAGTCAGTAAAAACAAGAAAAATTTTAATTAAAACGCGTTTTGAAAAGTGATTTTTAAAGTTTGTTATTTTATTTTATAAAAAGATATGTGCGTTTTGATTGTTAAAATTCATTTAAAATGAAGAAAAGCTTTAGACGAGGTGGAAATGAAAGCAACTCCGCTGCGGAGCGGTTAGCTGATTACAGAGGAAACGGCCGTGGTCTAGGCAGTTCGCCTGGTAAAACCGAAGATTCATCGGATTCATCAAAAATGGAATTGGGCAACGAAGTATTGGATACCGCAGAGAGTTCTTTCTTCGGTGTTAGTAGAGATAAAGATATGAAAAAATTATCATCGGGATGTATTGGTGTTGAAAATACACGCCCATCAAAAGTAGTTACTGTAAAACATCCAGAATCCAAAAAGCCAAAGCCTACGATTAAGAAAAACAAGCCTGTTCAATCAGATTTAGATGTGTCTAAAGTATTTTTACGGTGTAAAGATGATTTAGTCTCTAGATTAGACTTGAGCAAATCAAGTATTACTCAGCTTCCTTCTTCCGTTCGAGATCTAACTCATCTTGAAGAATTCTACTTGTATGGAAATAAACTTTATTCACTTCCTTCTGAAATTGGTTGTCTGGTAAATTTACAAACGTTGGCTTTAAGTGAAAATTCATTGACATCATTACCTGAATCATTGGTATCACTAAAATCATTGAAAGTTTTAGATTTACGTCATAATAAATTGAATGAAATACCTGAAGTAGTTTACAAGTTGACTACTCTTACTACCCTATTTTTAAGATTTAATCGCATTCGGGTTGTAGATGATGATATACGAAACTTGTCAAATTTAACAATGCTTTCTTTAAGAGAAAATAAAATCAAAGAATTGCCTCCTGGAATAGGATGCTTGATAAACTTAACTACTTTTGATGTAAGTCACAATCAGCTGGAACATTTACCCATTGAAATTGGTCAATGCGTCCAACTGTCAACCTTAGATTTGCAGCACAATGAACTTCTTGATATACCTGAAACAATAGGCAATCTTCAGTTGTTGACAAGGTTAGGCTTAAGATACAACAGATTAGTTACAGTGCCAAAATCATTGTGCAATTGTAGTCGCATGGATGAGTTTAATGTAGAAGGAAATTCGATATCCAATTTACCTGAAGGTTTATTAGCTAGTTTGAGTGATTTAACGGCAATAACCATTTCGAGAAACAATATGACATCATACCCATCGGGCGGTCCTGCACAATTTACAAATGTTCACTCGATTAATTTAGAGCACAATTTAATTGACAAAATACCTTATGGCATATTTACAAGGGCGAAAAATTTAGCAAAATTAAACATGAAAGAAAACCAGTTGACTTCATTGCCCCTTGACATAGGCACGTGGACGAATATGGTCGAATTAAATTTGGCGACAAATAAGCTAACTAAAATTCCAGAAGATATACAGTGTTTAGAAAGTTTAGAAGTATTAATATTGTCTAATAATATGTTGAAAAGAATTCCAGCTGGAATGGGTAATTTAAGAAAGTTGAGAATTTTAGATTTAGAAGAGAATAGAATTGAAGTGTTACCGAATGAAATTGGATTTTTAAGGGATTTAACAAAATTGATAATTCACAGTAATCAGATAAGTGTATTACCCAGAGCCATTGGTCATTTGTCTAGTTTAGTTTATTTAAGCGTGGGAGATAATAATTTGACAAGTTTGCCAGAAGAAATTGGTACTTTGGAAAAGCTTGAATCATTGTATGTGAACGATAATCTGAATTTGCATCATTTACCATTTGAATTAGCATTATGTAAAAACTTACATATAATGTCAATTGAAAATTGTCCTTTATCTCAAATTCCTGCGGAAATAGTTCAGGGAGGTCCTTCCTTAGTTATACATTATCTAAAAATGCAAGGTCCGTATAGGTCAATGTAAAAAAAAAATTTTTTTTTTATTTTAAAATCAGATCAACTGCATCATAACATTTTTACTTTATCAAAAATTCAAAACAAAAAAAAAATGAGTTAAATTGTGGAATCAGATTATTTATTTTGAAAACGATTTTTTTTTTTTTTTTTAATAACTCAATCAGTATTTTACATAAATAATTTATTTTATAATAAATTTATATATATATATATAAACTTTAAATTAAAAATAGAAGTGTGTAAGTAAATATTATTTACTTATAATGAAATTTTTATTTTTATTTTTTTATTTTGTTATTGTTATTATTATTATTATTATTATTATTATTATTATTATTATTATTATTATTATTATTTTTTTAGTTTAAATCAGTACAAATATATTGTAAAACAACAATAATAATAATTGTATGCATTTATTTTATTTTATTTTTTTTTTTATTTTTATTTTTTATAAATAAAAAAAAAAAAAAAAAATTAAGAGAACGATGCGTTTAATTTGTATTGCATTTGTATTGAATTTAAAATTAAGTTAATTTAAAATTAAATTTAAATTGCATCCATTAATCAATTTTTTTAATTTGAATGCTTCAAAAAATAATAATAATAATAATAATAATAATAAGGTAGATAATTTTTGTAATATGTGTATTTGAAAAGGTAAAAAGTATTTAAAAAAAAAAAAAATTTTTTTTTGAAACGTAAAATGTTAAATCAAAGTTACAAAATATTTAGCAAATCGTTATTATTATCACCATCGTACATATTATCATTATTATAATTTTTTTATTTTATTATTATTATTATTATTATTTTTTGTTTTAAACGGTAAAAAAAAAAAAAAAAAAAAAAAAAAAGTTGATCTCAATGTGGAATAAATAATATATTTGTATATGTATAGGTATATGTAATAATGTAAACGCGCTTAAGTATATATAATCCACGATAAAAATAATAATAATAATAATTGTGTAAGTATTTCGAAAATAAAAATTATATATTTAATTATTATAATAATAATCATCGGTCATTATTATTATTATTATTATTATTATTATTATTATTATTATTATTATTATTAAATAGTTTAAAAAAAACATTTAATGTATTAGTGGTATAAAAAAAAGGAAATTAATTGCATTTAATTGAAATTTACCTCGTGTGTTTGTTTGGCCCACCTAATTAATTAATATTTTTGTTAAAAAGACTAAAATATTAATAATAATAATAATAATAATACTAAAAAGCCATTTCATATACATACTAAATACTATAATATATTATTAGACTTATTAACTAATTGTAAATTATTAATTTAAAAATGGTGTAATTAATAGTATTGTTATAGTATATATGAAAATTAGATTATTTATTAAATAAGGTTACGTACGGACATTTAAAAAATATATATATATATATATATATATATATATATATATATATATATTATGTATATCATAAATAAATAAAGAAAAATAAAATAATAATAATAATAATCATTGTTTTAAAATACATATAATTTAATTCCAATTATTTTGAGTTATTGCTTTTTTTTTTTTTTTTATTATTAATATCATGAGTTCGGGTTGTATTTGCTTTAAAAAAGTAAATAAATAAATAAATAAATTTATTTAAATAATATTTATTTTGTATTAATTGATAAATTTTTTATTATTATTATTATTATTATTATTATTATTATTATTATTATTATTTATTTGGATAATTGAAATAAGAAGAGATTAAATTTAATAATAATAATATGTTATATTAACGGATTTTATTTAATTAATATGAATCATGTGTGTTTGTTTAAGGAGAACACAAATGGAATTACAATTCAAATTGAAATTTTTTTTTTTTTTAAATTGAGTATATTATTTTTTTTGTGCGTCATGATTGTTTTATGTTTGTACAAGGAGTGATAAAAAAAAAAAACTTTTGTGTATTTAATAATAAATAAAAATTTGTTTCGGTTGAAAAATAGGAAAAATATGAATGAAATGTTATTAACTATTAAATATATATATATATATACATAGAATTTTTTTTTGAGTTAAGTTTAAAAAAAACAAATTGTTTTGATTACGTAATTATTTTATAACTTTATATAATATTTTTCGGGTAAGCCAAAAAAAGGCTATAAATTTTTATAAGTTTTTTTATTTTTTTATTTTTTTTTTTGTTTTTTTTATTAAAAAAAAAAAATTTACATAAATAATGTTACGTGTCAAATTTGTATGTATATATACATATATATATATATATAAATGTATTATGAAGTATTCGCGTATAATTAGTTAAATAAATTAAATTTAATGTTCATCTGTATTATTTTGACATAATAAATTGTTTAAAATAAAATATTATGTTATTTTTTATAAAGTTTTTTTGATTTTTCCTTTCATGGCAATATAATAACGGTCATTTTTTTTTTAAAATGTTTAATTTTATTGAAATTTTAAGAAAATTTAAATTTCAAATATATAAAAAAAAGCAAATTGATTTCGTTATAAATTGATGTATTATGGAAACTTTATATTTATTTATTTAAAAAAAAAAAATATCGTACAAAGAGTTCTGAGATTTTTTTTTTTTTTTTTTTAATTGCGACTTATTAATCATTTTTTATGCATGATACATCAACTATAAAACTTTATCCGTGAGTCTGAAGGGCCGGGGAAGGTCATAGTTCGATTATTGCCGTAATAAAAGGCCCCGAAGAACAAAATATAGGGGAAAGGTGGCAGCCATATTGTCAAGTTGTCTGAATCATTTTTATCGTTAATTGATTACGGTTCCATGTACAGGATAAATTAGCAATTCCAGACCCCCGCTTGTTTCAACAAAGATCAGTTAAATATTTTTATATATTAGTTAATTTTTTTTAATTAAAAACTCCTTGTAAAAAAGGTTTTTTAAGTAGTACTACAATGGCAAGTCGTGATGATGAGTATGATTATTTATTTAAAGGTAACAAATCGATTTTTTTTTTATTAATTTTTTCTTATTTTTTAAAAAGGCTAAATTTAATATTAATATTATTAAAATTTTTTATAAAAATTATTTTTTTCACAATTTTATTTCACTTATCAAGACATGTTTTAACAGTGACATTAATCTTGTGTTAGGTGTTATGCGGAAAAGAAATTTCATAGAATTTTTTTTTTTTGTTTTACATCTGATTTTTAAAACTTATTGACTTTTTTCCTTTATATTCATATTACGCAATAATATTTATACTAATTTTTTATATTAATCAAATATTTTGAAAAATATTTTGAAAGAATATTTTTAAAATAGTTAAACATTAATAGTTAATGGTAATAAATTACAACAGTTCTAAAACGCCCATTATATTACTTCTTGTGTGCTAGTAATCTTATTTTTTTTTTTTTCTATTCTTGACAATTAAATAATGGGCAATATAAAATTAATTTAATTTCAATAACCTTTATTTTGATTTGAAAACTTTTAATGTCAAATGCATTGTGTTTTTGACTTTAAGTGAAGACTATTCATTTTTTATGTTTTTTTTTTTTTAATTTTTCTTATTATTATTATTCATTGAACTTTTTCGTTTTCTTAAAAATTAACACCAAAATTTTTTATTATTTTACAATAAGTGAATTTATTTAAAAATGTATTTTCTTTTATTCTTATATTAACATTATTTATTGAAACATTCTTAAAAACGTAGTAGTAATGACAATTATTCGTTAAATTATCGTAATTTATCATCACACATATTTATGTAATGACAAATTATTTCATGTAATCTAAAAATTAAAATTTTTTTTTACAGTGGTTTTGATAGGAGACTCTGGAGTAGGAAAAAGTAATCTTCTTTCACGTTTCACAAGAAATGAATTCAATTTGGAATCGAAATCAACAATAGGAGTAGAATTTGCTACAAGAAGTATTCAAGTCGATGGGAAAACAATAAAAGCTCAGATTTGGGACACAGCAGGTCAAGAGCGTTACAGAGCAATCACTTCTGCGTAAGTACCTCTAGGGAATTACTATATTTTTTTTTTTTTTTTTTTTAATACCATTATGTAATCTAATCTTTATGTCTTATCATATAGTTGCAAGCTGACAACATAAAAAATTAAATTGTAATTTATATGAATACAAGTTTTTTTTTTTTTTTTTTAAATATTTTTCGAATGCTCGAGAAAAACTTGATGGAAAAAATATTTAAATATTTACTAAATGAAACGATTTCAAATAACAAAGACTAATGTTATTCTTTGACTGAAAATCAATGGGTATTCAGTAAAATAATTTTTGATTGTCCATTTAGTACATTCAGTATTATTGTTACACTTGTTTGAAGTAAAATTACACTTGAACAATGTATACTTTGAAAAACAAAATTCTCAGGCTTTATGTCTTATAAAAACAAAAAAATGACATATTTTAAATTAATTTTTTTTTTTATTTATAACCTTTAAAATGTAATTTTCTATTAATAAAGTCAAAAGAATAATAATTGATTAATTATTTACATAGAAGAAATAAATAGAATGGTTTAGAAAAAAAATTTTTTTAATCGACATATTTTTATTGAAAATGTCAAAGTATTCATGTTGTCTTGAGCTTTGTGTTGTTTTGTAGTATGTATCAAAGCTCAATTTTTCAACGATATTAATAGGTAGAACAATTGAATAAAAGTTTAATGTAGTATTTAAAGTTGCCAATGAACTTAAAAGTAAATTTAGTTTAGTGTTATTGACATGACCTTGCAAAGTTATTTATTCTTAGTTACTTCTGGTAAGTTAATGATGGTATTAGATAAATTAAACTAAAAAAAAAAAAAAAAAAAAAACTTAATTCTCATTTTTTAAACTGTTTCTTTTTTTTTTTTTATTTTACTTGTATTTGTATTTTTTTAATTGGAAGCCATCTTTTTTTTTGTTTTCAGTTATTACAGAGGTGCCGTAGGAGCGTTGTTAGTTTACGATATAGCGAAACATTTAACATATGAAAATGTTGAAAGATGGCTTCGCGAGCTAAGAGATCATGCCGATCAAAACATTGTTATTATGCTTGTGGGTAACAAAAGTGATTTAAGGCATCTTCGAG